AACCCCCCTTCATATAATCGCACTCCACGCTTGCATTTCTTTTTCTTTTAATGTCATTATTTTCACTATCTCCGCAACAGCATGCATTTTGGGAGAAGATATGTTATTTATCAAATCGTTTAATCTATCGAATAAGTAATGAGAAGTAGATAATTTTGATCACTGGAGACGTAAAAACGAAAGTGCAGAACAAAGATAACAAGCGATGGAACCGCAAGCAGATATATTGTACCGCATCTTCGTGTAGGCAGTATGCTCTAATATCCTCTCGAAAATTATTCTCAAATAATCCATCAGTTTCTCCTCGCCGTAATTCGCCTTGTCGGACGTATATCGTGTTCCTAGTACCAAAATCACTAGTGAGACAACTAATATCACGCTAATCAGATTTCAAATATATCGCGTTGCGATGGCTATTTTCATGCTAATATGAAAATAAAAAAAACATGCTTGCAAGAAAATGTGAATGCACCAGTAATCTATCCAAAGATCAAAGCTATTGGATCAAAATAACTATCGAACGAATGTGAAATGAATGTGTACCGTATTTCGCATCTCGAAACATACGACGTACGACGTATGACACCTATCAACGACTATCAGACAAAGGAGCAAGTGGTCGCGGCCATACTGTCGTTTGCTTCGTTCGATCTCGGTATCTTTCGTGTATTAACGAAGATTTCCGATTCAACTCGAATACCTCCGAGTATGCTCTGATGTGCTCGACAAAATTCAATAGCACTTGCCAATAATTTTCAATACGTTTCTTTGCTAACTTTTTTCTATATTTAATACAACGATCTACTTGTTTGTTCTATACTAGCAACCAAATAAACCGACAGCTTTTTCAAGAGATCTCAAAATTCACACGTAATTAACAGACATGAATTCACAATATATGAAGTCAGTTAATTAGTTATATGATATGTACATAAACAAATCCTGCAACATAGTAAAGAAGCATGGAATCATTTCTATCCGCATCGAAAGCAGTCTTGGTAAATTTCTGTTTTGTTTTAATTGGATTGCTGTAGTGAATAAAGTTATATTTTTCGTGAATTATAACAAGACAATAATACACGTGTTCACTTCTACTAAATAAGTTGAGTGCTAAATAATATTATGTAGTATATATAATAAGCTAATATAATGCAATTGGATAATTTACTTATATCAATAATTATTTCTTTTCTCTGTTTTTCCATATCATTAGTTCCATCGTAATTATTCCTTTGTTATTATATTTATATTGCATTAAGAACATGTTAAAATTAATATTGATATCAATATCTATATTTTGATATCTATAGTAATAATTTTACATTCATAATTTCTCGTCTAAATTTATACCACGTATATCTATCACAACGTAGATGACGAGAAAAATTGTAATTACATTCTTCTTAAGAAAATTTTGCCCGAACAAATTAATACCACGAATTGCAACTATAGTTGGTAGCAGTTACATGTGACGTAATATGTAACAGATAGTTTCAGTTTGTATCTTTTGCGCGCCAAATCTTTGAGACATTTAAAATTGTTAGTCATAAAAAAATTGAAATATGTTATCCTATTTTGCTTAAAAAAAGATAAAAAAATCGGAGTTATTGTATTATTTAACGATATTAGATAATAAATTGAATATGTGTGTAGAAAACTGAAAATAAACTTGAAAAATATAAGATATTTAGTTATTTATCAGCATACATTGTTATTTTGCGCAATTATATGTAAAAATGAATTAAAAATGAAAATCCGAAGCAGACAAATTTCGAAATATACAAGTGAAAGGGATAAACACTGGTGGATAAAATTATTGGATGATAATCTAAGATATCGGTATAATAGGAACAAAAATCTTTTTATAAAAAATTTTTAGAAGAGACAAAGTAAATATTTAATGAGGTATTGGTTTGTATATTATTTTAGTCGAAGCCGCTGGCTTACAAAAGAATCTGCATCGTTTTGGGTAATGAATCTTGTGATTTAGACTCTGCCGTATCGGCATTGATTCAAGCTTTTTCTGAATATTTAGACGGAATTAAAAGGAAGGAAACAGATTTAGTGGTTATTCCGTTGATGAATATATCTGAAAGAGAGTATCGTGTAAAAACTGAAGTCGTATTCTTCTTGAAACGTCACAACATACCTTCCAACTTGCTGACATTTCGGTAAGTTACAAGATTTTCTAACAAATGTTATAGAATGAAAAAATGAAAGTAAATTGTATAGATAGATGATCGTATGTATATTATAGGGATCAAATAGATTTGAAGGCTTTAAAGAAGAATGTGGAAACGAAATTGGAACTGGTGCTCGTTGATCATCATAACCTTCCGGACGAAGACACTTATCTAATGGATTCTGTAGTAAAAATAATCGATCACAGACCACAAGACGAACGGTGGCTGTGGCCTGGTAGAGAAATACATCTGGAGAGTGTAGGCAGTTGCGCGACGCTAGTGGCGCGAAATTTATTCGATAAACATGCAGAAATAATAGACTCGCAGATATCGAGTCTTCTGAGAGGTATGCAAGCAAGTCAGCAAGTAAACAAACAAGATGGCTTTCATTAAATTTTACTCGAATATATTATTCAGACATCAAATTGATTTTGCGTTATTTAAACGTAATTGTTATTGCAATTTTTATAGGTCCAATCTTGGTCGATACTTGTAATTTTTCAAAAGAGGCCGATCGTGCTACTCCCGTCGATGTGGAAATCGTGGAATCTCTGGAAAAAGTTGGACTATTAGATCTAGACAGAGATAAAGTGTTTAACGAGATCGTCAAAGCAAAATCTGACATTAGCGAATTGACTATCGATGATCTTTTGATCAAAGATTTAAAAGTAATTGTTGGCATACCGATTGTTGGATTGCCTATATTGGTGAAGGTAAAAACTAAAGCATACGCGTATTCCTTCTTTTATGTATGAATTGTAATTCATTCAATTTGCATATCGCACTTTAGGATTTCCTTGATTTACAAGAGGATTATCTAGAAAGTCTTGGAAATTTTGCCAAATGTAAAAACACTACGATCGTCGTTCTAATGGGAATGCAACTTAATGCGCAAGAAATATCTCGAGATATCGCTGTTTTTTCGTCTCATGCCAATCGGCTAAGAGATAAGGTTAGCACAATCTTTCCGTTTTTATTTTATTCGATCTGTCGATAGAAATACGATCTTGGCTCAATTTTACTATTAACAGATAATAGAAGCTTTAATGGCGTCTACGCAACCATCTCTCGAATTGAGTTTGATTAGAAAAATTCACCAAGAAGATGGAGATGTTAATTTGTTCCTTTATGAACAAAGGAATCTACGTGCCACGCGAAAACAAATTTTACCGATCATTCGAGATACCGTTTCGTTGGAGTGTCGATGCTGAGTAACTATTCGTGATAGGATCTCTTGCTTGAAGTTGAATTTGTAAAGACAAAATGCGAGAGATTATAAGAAGTCACATTTCAGATGGCAGTGTCAGTTCCTTGAGTTCAGTCTTCCAAATAAATGAAATAAGAACAATAGGAAACAAAATGACTCATTTTACTTTAAGCTAAGTTGTTTCGAAACTCTTTAATTTAAGCTAAGTTGTTTCGAAACTCGTTAATTTAAGCTAAGTTGTTTCGAAACTCGTATTATAAATAACCAACACATTTAAACGCGTGAAATTCCACAGAATTACCTTATTTCTTTTGTTACATGAAGGGAGAGAGAGAGAGAGAGGGAGAGAAAGAGAGAGAGTAAGAGAGAGTAAGATACAAAGAGAAAGGTGGAGAGAGAGAGAGAGAGAGAGAGAGAGAGAACGAACGATCGATTGATACGACTACAAGTTGATGGTGATTACTCCAATTTTCTTCGAGTTAATTATGCTCTATGCCGAGTGTAACGTACGTGAAAGATCGATACCATTATAACGATAGAAACATCGTTACTACGATCGGAGATACATACATTGGAGGGAGATATTCCCCTATATCCCCTTTCGCCCCACTCTTCTCCGCCGCTCCTATCTTCGAGCAAACTCACCACCACCACGGGCCGATACCATGGATGTTGGGCTAAAGCTTTGGTCCAGGGTGGCGGAGTTTGCATCGAACTACGTTTCGCGAGAAACGCGACAAGACGAACAAATTTATTCGCCGGAAAGAGCCGAAAAACTAACCGAACGTGAGAAAATCTGTCAATTATATAGTGCGGGTAGCAACAATTCTTACGAGTTGTCGTTTTTTTCTTTTTCTAATTAGGACGTGCACCGTATGTATATACGTATATGTATAGAGAAAAGAAACAAGGAAAAAGGAGAAAAGTTAAAAGAGAAATTGAAATTACGATAAGTTGGTGCACTTTGATTCGTGGTTAGCTTTACAACGATGCTAAATTCCTTTCGTTTTTCAAAATTTACCGTGTTCACGTATCCCGTATACGCAATAAGTGACATGCGTCAATCTTAAAAGGTAAGCACCTTTTGACATTGAGCTTTTTATCAAACCTATCGGGTATAAAGATCCAAACATATTAAGTGTCATATCGCATCAATTACGAAAAAGAAGACGCACGTGTTTCATATTTAATGATAATTGATACGATTCATTTTACACGGATGTAATAGATGTAGAAGAAATTTGGTAATTATAGTTTTGATAGTCGAATCGAATGAAAATTACATTATGAAACAGATCAGTTTCAATAAGAAAAAGAAAAATTCAATTTTTTTAATTTTTATTAATTTTTATAAATTTTTATAAATTCAATTTCGTCGGCCCATTTTGAATAATATCGAGCATAAACGGATATTGTTATATCTATTATAGAAATTATTGAAACGAATACGTGTGCGTGTACGCAACGTGTAAATAGTAAATACATACATGGATCGAGAGAGAAATACTTAACGGGACATAATAAGACCTCTCTAATCGTAAGAGAAAAGGATGATTCGATGATCCTGTACACATTTACATTTGCCTCTGCGTTTGTATTTACGTTTACACAATGACATATATACATGACATAGTTAAATAACATAAATATTATAAATATTGAACCGTTTGTCGAAAACGAACAAAGGTCCGAACAAACGAAACAAATGGAGCAAACGAGTCGAACATGGTCATGCTCTTCCTTCCTGCGGCACGCTCGTATTGATCGTACTTTACTTGTTGCACGCACACCCAATACCTATCCAGGACCCCGTGCGCATTCCCTAACCCTCTTTGTCTTCATTTTCCATCGGTGAATCTAATTAACGTGCAACCAGCAAATTGCCAGCTGCTAACTGCCGACCGTACAAGCGCTAACCTATCTAATATCGATAGTAATAGCGATACTTGATAGCGGTTTCGATAGTTGCAATTTCTTCGTTCTCTCAACCATCGACAATCTACGATCGATTCTTTTTAGATCTTTCTTTCACAAGTACGGCCAGATACCTAAAACGGATATAGTTCTCTTTCTCTTTGGATACACTTGAATATCGAACGCGTCTCGCATGCATTAACGCGCTGCCCTAATCCTTTCTCCCTCCTTTAATTTCGTAAATCATGTTTCTTTTTCTTCGCCGCAGTACGATTAATCACGTACCACATGCAACATCAACATCTACGACGACCATCAATCGCGTGTATTTCGTTTTTACAGTGAAATAAATTGTGCCACGATATGGCTTGAAAAGCAAATAACGATTATTCGTATTACACTTACGATCGATAACATGTAATATCTAATCTGAAAGTTATTATAGTAGAAATTAAAATATAATAAGTATAGTTAATGTATAGTTAATGCGATTAGTTGATCAAGCAATATACAGTTACAGCTTGAGAAATCGAACAATGTTAGCAAAGGACTCGGTCTACCATGAACTGTAAAGAAATCGAAAACGATAGAAGATCCGGATATCGAGATGCGGTACATCCTAACGGTTGTCTCATTGGGAGTGCTTCTGGCAACTGTTCGCTGCAGAGAGAATTCAACGAAAAACGTTTTCGGTGAGGAAATGAGCAATTAAGGATAACGATATCGAAGAAATTAATTGTAAAAAGATAAGATCGATGAAATAAGGCCTGTATGTAAATATGTATGTTCGCAACTTGCAGATCAGTGCATCTTTCCCCTTGGCATGGAAGAGGGAAAAATTCCAGATGATGCGATCACCGCTTCTTCTAGCTACGAAACAAAATCCGTGGGCCCCCAAAACGCAAGGTAAATTATTTTAAATGATCGTTGTCGATAAAAGTAAAATTATGCGTACTATTCGATGCGTTTTACCTTCGAACGACTTAGATTTCTTATAACGACTTAGTTTATATAGTTTAGAGTTTTATATAGTAGACTATAGAGTTTTACGATTCTTTTATCAGCTTCGCATCAGTTTCGTTCCGTTAAACGTAAACACTATCGGTGGTTGGAATTTAAATAAAATAGGATAAGAGATATTCGGTTGAAAAATAAGATTTAAAACGATATAAATACATACGTATACGCAGTATGATATGGTATGGCACTGTAGCGTAGCAGTCGGTAAGAAAGGGCGATACCGATGTTTGCAGGATAAGACAAGAGAAGAATGGTGGCGCTTGGTGTCCAAAAGCGCAAATCAGTAGCGCGATAAGAGAATACCTGGAGATCGATCTGACGAAAAATCATCTGATAGCGTGGACCGAAACTCAAGGACGGTTTGGCAACGGTCAAGGTCAGGAGTATGCGGAGGCTTTCTTTCTCGAGTACTGGCGCGACACGAAATGGCATCAATATAGAAACTTGATGGGTGACAGAGTTCGTGTCTGTGTGTGATAAATCGACCGGAAATCGTCTGCATTGCTTCGAATTCAAGCACAGTCGCATCGAATACATAAGTACTTACATACATACTTATATACATATGTATGGGTCGTCGCGAGGAAGGAATTAGAAAAATATAAGAAAGTTACGATATCATAAGCTTTCGGACGGTTATTCAAAGAAAAACACAGTCCTCTACGCTCTAGTCTGTACTCGAGAGCAAGGCGAGACGTCTCCGGTGACCGTTGATGCTGAGAAACAATGCGACTACCGATATTCGATACGTCGATACACCGATCGAGCGTCGTTCGTTTCAGGTACTACGCGGCAACAGCAACACCTACCTGGTAGAAAAGCAGAAGTTGGACTTACCGTTCGTCGCGAGCAAAGTGCGATTCGTACCTTACAGCCAACATCCCCGGACAGTTTGCATGCGAGTCGAAATTTACGGATGCGTATTGGAACGTGAGCATTTCTATACCGTATATTTTACCGTTTGCCTTATCGTTTAGGCGTTTCGTCATTTCTCGTCTATCGATTCGACACGTTACAATCGTGATAACGTGTACGTATTATAACACATGTACGCACTATACGACCATCAACTATTTTTCTCATCCTCAGAGTATGTCGCGAGTTATAACGCGCCTAAGGGATCGAATCCAGGGCCCGGAGGACGAAACGTTCAGGATGCTTCGTACGACGGTGTGGAGATCGAGCCTCTTGTTCTCGTAAATGGTCTCGGGCAATTGACGGATGGAATATTAGGCGAAATTTCTGAAATTCTCTCCTCTTCGACCAATGCTACGAACTGGATCGGCTGGTCGGATCGTACTACAATCCAGATTATTTTTCGTTTTCAAGAACTACGAGAATTTCAAAATTGCACCGTACACATCGCTCGTATACCACAACTAGACGTCGAGGTTCGTTTTCTTTATTCTTTTTTACAACGAGCTTACATACACATGCACAAAATTCAAAATTAAAAAATTCCTTTATAAATATCTTTCCAAAGCTGACAATTTCTTTCATTTTTTTTTTTTTTCTTAGACATTTTCGCAAATGCGCGTTTGGTTTTCCATCGATGGTGAGAACTATCGATCGGAAGCAGAAAAATCCGAGTGGCCGATCGTTGCTGGATCGCCCGCTGCCGAAACGGTTTTGGTATCGATCCCTTTACAATCTAGGATCGGACAATTCGTAAAAGTGGAATTCAGCCTTGCCGCGAAATGGTTGCTTCTCAGCGAAATCACCTTTTACACTGGTAAGTGTTTAGATAATAGTCATATACGAGTACAAGAATATAAGAAAAAAGAAAGAGTTGGACGCGAATTAATAATGCTTTGTTAACCGTATTGACCGCAGGTAGCACAAGTCGGTCGAACGATTTGAATATTTTAGCTGATGATCAATCATCGGAAGTTCAGCAAAATCGAAGCGAACAACGAGCAAAATCCAGCAACTCCGTCATCCACTCGACCATCAACTCCGTGAGTTTGAATGTAACGGATCTTTACCAAATCGACGAAGATGCCTCGATACCAGATGTCTTTCCCGTTGGTACCTCCCAAACGTATATCGGCCTTGTCAGCGGCCTATTGACAGTGTTTGTCCTTTTCTTAACGTGTACAACATTTTTGATCAAACAAAGAGGCCGTAACAAAGTCGCTTTGTTGCAAAAGCATACAGCTCTACTGTGCGACTCATCTGCACCAGGCATTGCGATCTCTCCAAAGGATGTTAAACTCTCGAATTCGATCGTAACCGGATTATCCTTGATTCGCAAACCTATCATTATTGCCCCTTCCGATAACTTGCCTGATCGATCCAATACAGATTTCCAAACGGACGCCAAAGCTGCTGTCGTCGATTCCCACTTCGATAATTCTGATGCCCGTTCCACTCTATACGAGAGAACATACAGTCTGTTCTCCGAAGAAAATCTCGTGGTTGCAAACTCAAACGCGTCCTCCACCTGTACAGCCGAATCATGTTCAGGTGAATCTAACCAACCTTTTCTACACAACAGTTTATATACTCTAACCTATTGACTTCCGCGCCTATTTGTATTATGCATGTGCGTATGCGTACATGATACTATATATATTATTATTACGTATATTACGTCAAATTTCATTTTTCTTCTACCCAATTGAATCCATTTCAGATTTCAAGCGCAAGTCGAGCTTCACGACAAACAAGTATGCGGAAGTGACAATGCCAACGACTATGACATATTCGACGAAAAAAGCGTTTCATCTTCAATCGAGAAACACGAATCAAAGAATCTACGAGGGGTATTATGCGGCAACAGACATTTTAACGGTAGGATGATGGATCAGATGTGTTTATAACAATTCTAATAAAGGTATTATATAGAGATTTTTATATAGATGTATGGTTGTAGATAAAGAGAAGGGAGATCCCGTCGACTATGAGCCCGTTTACACCGCTTCACATTCGCGAGGAAACCGTATGTTTACCAAGTACCATTGATTCCTACAACGTTCAGCGTGTTTCCAGACACAGATTAAGAATTCTAGACAAACTCGGTGAAGGAAATTTCGGTTTGGTAAGAAGAAACAATATCGATGAATTAAACTGTTAGTTTACTAATATGAAATTTAATCGAATACGTATGCTCAATCAGGTTCATTTATGTGAAGCAAAGGGTATCACGAATCCCGAAGTAGGAGCGACTCAAAGTCGGCAAATTGTAATCGTTAGGTCTCTTTGGCGAGGCGTTGTAGATTCTTTAAGGTATGTTACTAATTCCGAAATGTAACGCCGGTTCGAAAAACCTTTCTTTATATTCTTATGGCATTTTGACTTGAGCAATACACAGGTTGGACTTTACGAAGGATATGCATGTTTTGGCGATGCTCCAAAATTCAAACATAGCAAAGATGATGGCCTTGGTAGAAGAGGAACCGTTTGGAGCTATTTTCGAGTTCGGTCGTTTCGGAGACCTCCTTACCTTCTTAGAAAGTCGCGGTAGTAATTTGGACAACAAGGACGATATTAGGTGAGTAAAATATTAGGTGATTATATATCAATGGTGTATTTGTCTTTTCAATTTTCTTTCTATTCTATTATATTCTATTCGCAGCTATGACAACCATTTAAGCTTTATTACCCAAATTGCATCTGGCATGAAGTATTTGGAATCCATGAACATTGCACATTGTGATTTAGCAGCCAGGTAAGTAAATCGAGAAAAGAATGACAGAATCCGTAAAAAAATAAATCGACTTAATCGATCCTCGATATATACGTTGTGTAATATTTTAGGAATTGCATTGTTGGTCAGGATCTGACAATAAAGGTGTCGGATCATGCCATATATTGTACCAAATATGATCATCATTATTTCATTGACGGGCATAATGTAAAAGTTCCTCTTCGTTGGATGGCATGGGAAGCAGTGTTACTGGTAAGCGACTGTTTCTTATTTCCTCTTCATCTCATCTCTACGTTATAGTCATAGCTACGTTTCCTCGTCTTGTGTCCCTCGAGTATATGTTTCTGCTATCGTAACTTCGCTACGGATCCCATTTATTTTCATTTTTGTTCTTCCTCTCAGGGTAAACGTAGTTGCCGAGCCGACGTTTGGTCGTTTGCTGTAACAGTTTGGGAAATTTTTCTAAATTGTAAGGAGATACCATATGCGGATTTAACAGTGGCACAGGTTTTAGAAAACTGTGGCCACTGTTACCAAAGCGAAACGTATATTGGTGGTAATGGACAGCCCGATGACAACAACGACCAAAGGAATCATCATCGAATTCTTTCACAACCCGATCATTGTCCAGATGACCTCTACCGTGTAATGAAAAAATGTTGGAGTACACGAATCGAGGACAGACCCCAGTTTGCGGAAATTCACCTATACCTCGAGAGACTAGCCCTCGATTGAACGTTCGAGATACTCGAGATCGAGTAGCACGGACCAAATGGTTACAATCAGCCAAGAAGCATCCTGTACGTAAATTTCAGCTTTTTATGCTGACTTAACCTGTATTTTCGCTTCATTAATTTCTTTTTTATATCTATTCCTAATGTATATTTCAATCCATCTTAAAAATATCGTAAAACTATTTCTTTCGCCCATTACAAACACCCTTCGTAATCGCTTCAGGATGCTCTGGCCATTAACTTTTAATGCTCAATTAGGTTTATATATAAATCAACTTTTATGCATATAGAAATATACACACACATTCACACTTGTACACACTCACATACATCAAGCGAGAGAGAGAGAGAGAGAGAGAGAAAGAGAGAGAGTGAGCGAGTGAGTTTCTGCAATCGTGAAACACAAAGCACCATAATAAGAAATCATATTGTCTTGTCCTTCGATCAACTGTAAATGATCGGTTGTAATATGCAAAAACAATCGATGATTCAACATTGCAACCGTGATTCTTTACGTACGAATATTCCAACAGCGAAACAAATAGACGTTGCAATTGCGTTACAATTCGAATGTCTAGTACCTCAGCTTGTTTAGCGCCCAATAATGTTACAATACTGCTTATTCTGTATGTACGAAGAATAAGTTGTTGCATACGAAAAATAAATAAGATTCACCGGTTTGGAAAAACGCGCGGCAAGAGATATACGTGAATTTGAACGATCGAGCACGCAAACGAATACAGCAGAAATGAACTTTTCAATGGACCGTTAATATTTACTTTTTATCAAAGACAGGCGGAAGATGGTTTGCAAAAAGGGATATTGCATTGTTTCGCATGTATACATGAATAAATTCACGTGCTCGAGTTTTGCATTCGAATGTGTTACGCCGTTACGCTGCAAATATTTGTAGAGTAATAGATAAAACTGCATATCAAAAAGATAGCCAGTAATAGTGGTTTGCGGGCGTTACTACAAACCAAATGGGACAATCAATATCACGAACGTTGTTTCATACAAATTAGACGATACGCGACTTTAAAAAGTAATTATCGATCGATTTGCTAACACTTACCGAATATTTTAGGATATTACACCCAAGCATTACCAATCAGATTGTATCCTCACGGGTGAATCGATCGTACTCTCATCGTATCGAGCGTTGATATCTACGCGTACGTTTCTATAGAAGCATAAATTTTTTTAAATGTGCGATTACATTGATCGACATTTGTAATACAAATCATACGTATCCCATTAAAAATTATATTCTTCATATTTCCAACGTTACGGTAAATAAAAATTGTTATACACTATCTAATAAGCTGTGTCTATTGTTGGTGTTCTAATATATGTAAGACAATACTAAAACAGTTAGAGGGAAAAGCGTATGAGCAATTTCAGACTTCATTGCTAATGGTTTCTATCGGCACCAAAGGGATGATGTTTGTTTCTCGATGAAACTCGGCAAGGGGTTGCTCCCAACGTTCTTCGAAATAGATTCCCAAGAGAAATTTTGTACCAATTCCTGTGTTAATGGCCCAAGGCAAATGATGCTCGAGATATAATTTCCTTTGCCTAAAACGCCAAAGAGAAATTCAACTAATTGGACTGGATAAAATCCGGCGAATTGAATAAAAAGAAGATGGAGACAAAACCATCGATCGGTTGCAAGTATCAGGCTCGAGATTCACTCGATGAATTTACCTTGGACGCAACCGAAACGCTCCAAATATCGCTCCGCTGAAACACATTGGTAATCGTAATTGTAACGCTTCTACCCACTTGACCGTCACTTCTCCAAGCATCGTGGTTGGCATTAGAAGCAGAGCATGATAAATATCGTGTGTTTCTCGATATCGTTGCATTACATATGCTAATTCAGTATCTTCAACGAATCTGACCGCAGGTCTAGTATCGGGGGACACGTTCTGTAACAGACCAATATTTTTGTTCCAATTTGCAGAAACGCGCTAACAATTTCAGTATATGATATAACTTGTAAGAAACGACCAATCGATTGGTGTGATCGTTGTCTACGTATATCTCTATCGAATCGAATCGAATCGAGTGGAGTCAAGTCGAAAGAGCTTACGTTAACGTCCAAAAAATCGCAATAGATCCTGCCAAGGGTTCCTTGTGGTAATCGTCTTAGCGCGGAAAAATCAATCGTAGACGAGGATATACGTGGTTTCCTGGCAAGAATGCGAGATCCCTCGGAGGTTGCGAGCATTTTTCGATGACAGTAGGAAAGAGCGTCGGTACCGGTCGTTTCTGCCAAGCATGCAATCATGTCGCCGCGAAAAGGATCAACGAATGAGATCGCGGCTGCACCGGCCGCCAAAATTGCACGTTGCACCGGCGACAGAGATACACGATGTTTCGCGTAATCCATCGTGAAGGATGACGAGCAGCCAGAGCTGCTGAATAATCTTCGAAGTGGCCAGCCTGAAACTGACGGAGGACTGAATGAGAATCGATCGTGTTTCTTTTCTCCAGAAATTAAATTTATTCACTATAAAGTATACTTTTGTACACGTGCATTATTAATGATAGTATATTGCACCTTCGAGATTTCGAAGTACGTATGTACAAGTTGTATTTCACAAGGTAAAGGTGATACGCTATGGCGCGCAACATCTTATTATTCATTTCTTCTATCCGATAACGGTCTTATCGCTTTGGTATAGAATCTTATATCTTATTTATGACTATTACTATAGTTTGTCACGCTTGCTGCTCTTTCCCTATTCCCATTTCGTTCCCTCTTTTTCCGGCTCCCAAAAGCTTTACAATTCCACAACAAGGAGGACACGTGACACGTGTCGCACACTAACACAAATACAAAACACTAATACAGAGAAACAATATGACGGGCTCGAGGAAGCGAGAGCAACGGAGAGAGAGAGGAAGAGAAGAACAGAAAGAGCCGCGGCGACACATGGCACGATTTCGTTGCTTTGTACATCGATCATACAGCTTGCACTTTATTTGTCGTTTGGTCATCGAAAAGCGGAGAATATTTTGGTTCGGTCGATTCCTTCCTTCGAAAGGTTACCCAAGTGTAAACCAAGCTACCGACGACACTTAAATTCAATCCTACGAAATTTAACCACGTAAATATGTAGTCACCACCGATCATCATTCCGAGATAAGTAACGCATATATTTTTCAAACATCCGATTATCGTGGTGGTCAACGCAGAGTTATAAAGTGTGCAAAGTATCATGCTGTAGGACAATACAAAACCCATCACACATGAAAGGCCAAACTGTACAAGAAAGAACACATTGTTCCAATGTGGAAATTCTATGATAGAATGCATGTCTTCCATACAGTAGGCAATGCTAATCGCTGGGACAATCATAAACAATGAATTATAGTACATCAGTCCGTATTTTCCTAGTTCCTTCGAGTCCAATTTCTTCTTCATGTAGACACCGTTGGCGGCCGTAAAAAAATCGTTCAATAGGATAAAAAGATAGCCCTCCAAATTAAAAGCAAGATCATTTAACGCAGCTACCACTGCCCCGACCATCATCATGTATACGCTCAACTGAACGGAAACACGCGCCCTTACTCCGAGAATATAGTATTCAGCGATCATCGTCATAAGAATGCTAAATCGTCTAAGGGCGGTGAACATTGGAAGGCTCAGCTGTTTCGTACCACCTAATCCAAAGATCATGTTGCCGATGTAAATGATCGGTAATGGCCATATCTTGACACACGTTGTTACTTCTAGGTTAGGAAATTCAACGTAGCGTAACTTCTTTGCTGCGAAAAGTAACACGATGGTAGCCAACATTTGTCCTATGCCGAGCATTTGAAACGATGGAAATTCGAACGACGTCAGCACTGTCTTGTTTACAACTGTGATCATAAATGAAGATAACCCGTAAAATAGGGCAGAACCGACCCTCGCGAACATCACATTTTTATGACTCCACGGCATACCGATCAAAATTGATAATATTCTCTTACTCTCTTCTTTTTTTCTTACTTTCTCTCCTTCCCTTCTCTTTTCTCTACGTTCCAATCACAACTTTTATATTACTAATACGCCAAATTTATATCAAATTTCATAAAACATACACTGGTATAACCTTATCATCCTTCTATCAGTTTTCTATTTCTCCTTTTGTACTGCACACGTCGCCAACGAAGATTCCACTATCCTACTGGTTCATTCAGTATTATTAACAGTAGTAGTATTAACATTAAGTGTTCATTACTTAATGTTACTGAATACCATTAAGATTTGTTTATAAAACGTAAAGTACACACACGAGTGCTTCTTTTTCCTCTAATTATTCTTTAAGCGTGTTGACGTAATATTTTATCTTCCGCTATTCCTATTTCTATTTCTACCACAGTTTGCACTACTCTTCGTTTATCGTTGTCGTTGGCACATACAAATTTTGTATCTCGCTTTTCCTTCTGCTTGTCTTCTAATCTATTATCTTTGTTCTCAAAATGAATCTCAGTATATGTACCTAGTATACTTGCATACATACGTATTTAATTCTTTTATATGAAGATTAAGAATTTCTGCTTTGCAAGATTTTTATCAAATTCCTTTTATAATTTATTTCATTTATAATAATGAATACATTGTTATTCATTTAATTTTCAACCTGTTATTAACTAATTTGTTATAAATATCATTCATCGATTAATAATACTAGTATACATATTTATCACATGTACAAAGTTTGGATGGTAGGAACACGATACTAATGAGCCATCTTATAATTAAAGGAGATGAAAAAGAGAAAAATATATATTTTATATGTTAGTAAATATGTAACTCGTTCGATCATGAATACTTTACTAAGAAATGAGACTTGCTTACAAGGATTTTGAACATGAAGCGCTATCTTGCGATCGCGTTCCTCTAAAATTCGATCATACGCTGATACGTTTAGGATTTCATTTCACAGTCTCTTTCATTCGGTCCAACTAGACCGAGCATGATCCGAGCTCTCGTTCAGTGTAATGAGTTTCTATTCGATTATTTAAGCAAGCGTAGACTGTAATAGTCTAGTAAAATTATTTAAAGTTTCAGCGCAATGTGTTTTTGTTCAAAGCTTTCTTACGTAACGCGAACTAAAAGTTGTAAAAACAAAAATATATCATGATGTAAGTTAAACATTTGATTTTAAGGAAACCTTAAAGCATTTTACTTGCCTTTTTTCGTTATTGGTTACATTATAATCGATAACCAACTGGTTCCCATGTTATTTTCAGGATAGAAAAAAGGAAACACTGACGATTTTATACGACGTATTTTTATCATGTTATTTATTTTTTGCCCAATCAGGATCTCCCGTAACATATGTCTATCATCGTTGAAACTGTCTATCGTTCCAGTATGTGTGTTCACTTTTTTCCAATATTATTAAGCCTTCAATATTTTGTTACTTTTTCTGACAAATTATCCTAGTATTCTACCGAGGCTACATCAAGCGTAAAGAAATTATCCCGTACACAGAAATACCAATGTTTATTAGACACAAAAAATGTCAAAAATCAGAAGATATCACCTAACTTTGTTACATCGTTTGATCACCAAAAGCCTACCCAATGTGTAGATATAACGAACAATGAAAAGCAAAAGAATTTATATATGCAAAATAAACAGGAATGGCAGTGTATAAAATTAGATTCTGGCAAACTTCGAAAACATTGTTTCATGTTATCTAAGATACGGTTAACATGTAAGAGAAACTAATATCTTTAACAAAAACATTGATATTTTATATGATAATTTGTTTGAATAGAAAAAATGAAGAATCAAATCATTATTTTTAGCTTTGGTAGTTGTAACAACCATGGCTGGATATGCATTAGCACCAGGGCCTTTCGATGCTTTTACATTTGTCGCATGTTCTATGGGTACTGGATTAGTGTCTGCAACAGCAAATGCTATCAATCAATTTTTTGAAGTTCCGTTTGATGCACAGATGTCAAGAACAAAGAACAGAGTGTTGGTTAGAGGTTACTTAACGTATGTAGGATATAGTTTCAATTGCAGAAGCATCCAGATTCTTTAGCTTAAAACTAGTGTTATATCTATAACAGAATTTTTCTAGTAGACCCGGCCATGCAATAATTTTTGCAACGGTATCTGGCTTTAGTGGATTATTATTATTATATACCCAAGTTAATGAATTAACAGCTACTTTGGGAGCAGCTAATCTGCTTCTGTACACTCTTATTTATACTCCTATGAAACGCATTAGTATTCTAAATACTTGGGTGGGTTCCATAGGTAAGTATATTACGATACTTTTGCTATTGTATTTAAATGTTTTTCACTATACTAACTGAGATTACATATCAACTGTTATTTAGTTGGAGCCATACCACCATTAATGGGTTGGGCATCTTGTGTTGGCAATATAATATCTCCAGGTGCTTGGATAATGTCTGGTCTATTATATGCATGGCAGTTTCCTCATTTCAATGCTTTATCATGGAATTTGAGGCCGGACTATTCACGTGCCGGTTATAGAATGATGGCAGTCACGAATCCAAAGCTTTGTCGTAAAACAGCATTACGTTATACCGCTGCATTAATGGGTCTTTGTTATTTAGCACCAGTTTGTGATGTAACAAATTATTGGTTTGCCTTGTTATCGACACCACTTAATGCATATTTTCTTTACCTTGGTATGTCAAAAACATATTGATATACTGATATTTTGAAAAAAAGAAAAGGAAGAGGAATGAAAGTAAATTTAACTTTGTGTTTTCTCTTTTCTAGCTTGGGAATTTCACAAGCACTCTGATAGTAAAAGTTCTCGCAAACTGTTTCATTTTTCATTGATTCATTTACCTGTTCTTATAGTTCTTATGCTTATAAATAAGAAACAGTGGTATAGTGATGACAATGGACGGAGAGATATGATACCTTCCGAAAAAAAGGCGATATTTACACAGTTTTAATGAAAACGATTGCATCGACATTTTCGAGCACTTAATAAACTACCTTGAAATTTACGTCATGATACTATAGGAATCATAATAAGCTGTAAGTTGTATATAAAGATGACTTTATAACACTTAATGAAGCAATTTGTAGTATAATTTGTGAATAATAGCAGTTATAACTGTGATCATGTATAAAAATCAATACAAGAGTCACAAAATATGATTATGTACATGTAGTAGTGTATATATTTATTTATTTATTTAATTTTTGTTTTTATAACTTAAAATATTATACAGTGTCATATTTTATCTTGAATAGCTTTCCGTTTCGCAGCAAATTCTATCGCCATTTGTCTTCTAGTTTTAGTTAAATTTCTGTGTCCGGCACAATCCAGATTTTCTGTGAAACATTTGTTTCTACAGCACTGTCGGCATAATTTATGAACACATTTGTGACTCTACGGGAGAAAACGTAACGACGAGATTAATAAATTTTATTCGAATTGATAACAAAAGATTATGTTTAAAATAAAGTTTTGCAAACCACTGGATTTGGACAATCGCAACACAAATCAGATCCTCTTTTCACAATGATAGCTGGTCTGTTGGGGCGGCGCGCTATTCGTTTGAGCTTCTTCAAGCGTTTTCGTGATATCTCATTTCCTTCTTCGTCTCTAAATTTTCTCTTGACCGTTTCATTTTGCTACAAAAATTGAATATCGAAATAATAATAATAAATAAATAAAACAATTATATCATATGATAAGGGAAAGGAAGAAAAGTATAATAGGGATAGGGATACAGATAGAAATAGAAATAGGAATAGAAATAGAAATAGAAGTAGGGATAGGAAAAAGGAAAAGGAAATTGTTTGTGATAGAATAGTGGAAACCAACCGTTTCGATCTTTTCAATTTCTAGCTTTTGTATATTCTCCTCTGGAAGATGACGTATATATGGTTGGCACAACCAGGGAGGTAGTTTTAAGTTATGATCTGAAATATAGAATGCAAGTAAGTAACAACGGTCATACTTTGGTGGTATATCACGATAGTGTAATTAAAAATACAAAGGAAAGGTGTATACACAGCCAGAAGGAAAGTGGATGTATATATGCCATACGAATGAAGAATAATGTATATGATGGAATATAATATAAGCGAATATAGTGGTAGAGCCTACGAACCGGACATTTCTTCCTGCCAAATTAAACGACCTTCGTGATAAGGCAGATATCGATCCCTCAAAGCGTATACGACGTTTCTGAAGGATTCCATGGTAGAGTTTCGGGCCAAATTTTCTCTCTCTTCTTTATTTTCTGCTAAACAAAGTCTACTCTCTAGTTAAAAGAACGCTGAATGCATAAGTCGATTTGTAATTTCGAAAATTATTTATATAATATACATAGAGATTGAAAATAAACAGAAGCTACAAATAATTGATTTTTCATACGTACGTGTGTTGGAACAATTTAAAAAGATGACCACGAATGTAAGAAGGAGGGGCTGGGTAGCGTTCCACCAAATCTAAATATTCAAGCGCTGGCTCCCAACTAGGTGGATAACAAGCTTCGAATATGTACGGATTGTAAAGGTTGCCTTCTGCTGACATTACACCATGAACACCGGTTTCCTCTATACATCTTTCGATATCTTGCAGACACTGTATGTTACCATTCGCAAATACTGGAATTGTGACGGCCTGTCTGAACGTTTGAAATAACAAGAAATAACAACTTACTGGAAGATACACGCCAAATGAAGATACGAAGAGTAATTGTTAATCATACCTGACGGCTTTGATGTGATCCCAAGACGCGATACCAGTTAACGGACCTTTTTGTTCCCGAGTTCGTCCGTGCACGGTAAGTAATCGTGCCCCAGCGGTCTCGAGCATTTGCGCGTACTTAACAGTTTTATCGATCTCCGCAAATACACGAAGCTTACAAGTAACTGGCACACGGAGACTTTTGCTCAAAGTACTTACTGTAATAGTTTGTAAGAGGAAAATAAATTGGAGATGTAACGTTATATTTAAGATTTATGTTACGAACCGATTCGTCGAAGCAAGTCCCAATCGTCTTGAAGGAAAGCACCATAACGACCACGTTTCGCGATAGCTTGAGGACAACCAATGTTTATATCCACTGCGTCGCAGTACGGTTCTGCCAAAAGTGCTGCCTCTAATAGCGTATTCGGATCGTTGCCACAAAACTACAATAAATGAGATCAATGCGAATATGTGTTAAAGATTAAAGTGGAGAGAGAGAGAGATGTGAATCGTATACCTGGACGATTAATGGGCGATCTTCGACAGTACTGGTAAGAGCCTCTCGTCGATATTTCGGATCTCGACAGAACACGGAAGAATGAAGCATCGGCGTGTAACAAAGGTGGGCACCATGACGACGACTTAACAACCTCCAGGCTAATTCGCTTGCGTCGACCATTGGTGCAACTACGTATCGTGGAGAACTTAATACATTTTCCCAAATATTCGTCTCAGATGTAGCAGAATCTGTGGCGAGTTGATCGGACGTGTTTACTGAAACTGATGACATCTACAAAAATATACGATCATGAGTACATAAGAGAAGGTAATTCATGAATTTTTCAATTTAAGCGAGCAGCATGAGTTTTGTTGAAAAGATTCTGTTCTTACGATATGGAAACGATTACTCACTTACGGTACTCACTTTATGATGTTTAAATCTAGGATGAAAGATGTGGTGCATTCACACAACTATTCCCCCCGTTTCTTCCCCATTTTCTCTACCATATTCCCTTTTCACATTTAAGTTTGCCAAGAAAAGAACATGGCGGTTTTAGAGTTTACTGCTTATCGCGTATTAGAGCCGTTTTAAACCGAAGAAGCAGCGGAGGAAACGATCGGAGTAATCAATCAATACGATGGATTTCACATTTCCCGTGAAAATGAAACGGGTCGCGAGCGACTTGTGAAGACGACAAAGGGCGCGGCACAGATGACGATGATGACGACGATGATGAACAAATGGAACGGTTGGAGAAGCCGGAATACGACGACAGAGAAGAATGCGTCGATCGTGGCGTCGCAGGTTTCGATAATTCCGATTCCAAAATAGGAGACAGCTTGATAGATTGCGTCATTTGCGATTTGATTTTGGCTGTTTGTCCTCTTCGAAAAAGAGTTCGCGTGTTCGATCTCCTATATGTCGTGGATTCTCCCAGCATTTTCTGTGATCGGACCAAGTTCCGATACTGTTGTAAGTCCAATGAATCGAATTCTGTGATTGGCGGTGAACGATGCAACGCATGAGGTTTCGAATAAGATCGTCGTGCTGGTGTCGCTGCTGTTGCATCAGTCGCCAGCGTTTCGAACGGAACGATGAACGAAGGAGAGGCCATGGCTGTGTGGAAGAGTGACGATGATGACGACGACGATGACCACGATGGCACCGTTGCCACCGTGTCCTTGATCGTCGTTAGATTCCGATTGCGATTGCGATTCCGATTGAAATCGGTAGTATCAATTTCCTTGGACTTTGGTGTCTGCGACGTGTTGGTCGCATCCAACGACTGCTGTCGATTCTTCCTTTTCTTCCTGCATCTTCTTCTCCTTTTTCCTTTACTTAGATAGGTCCGCAGAAATCTCGCTATTCTTTCAACGGTTTCGCACGAGTTTGTGGAAACGCGCACCACCTGGTCGGACGTATCGTCACAACTGGATCGTTTTTTGGATTCCAACACGTTCGGCCTGCCGTTTGCCGTACAGCAATGCATAGTTAATGGCGAATTGAGCGCGGCGAAGCAACAAAAAACAGGTGACGGTGTCGATAAACCAGCGGTGGTAGCGTTACAATCTCGAGACATCGTAGATTGTTCGGTATTCATTGCTGCCGATGGCGATGGCGATGCGTCCGCGACCGTCGAAATGTCCATGGCCGACGTGCTTTCATCGAATCGCGATGATTCCAGCTTGTACGCCGAGAAACAAAGTCGGAAATTTTTCTTTTCGTTTTCTCGATCGGAGTAAGAGGACCGAGTCGAAGGAGATTTTCCTTCGAGAGGTTCGTTTCGGCTGTCGTTTATACCGCGACGCGAACATGAGTTTGCATTATTCGTAAAGGATGATACTAGAGGATGAGGGGCAGAAATGAACTCGCAGAAGCCGTGTCGTACCCTTGTACTCGTAGACTCGGCAACTATTTGCTGCACGGTTATCGTGGAAGCGTCATCCGTAACTGTTGTTGGCTGATTGGTGAGTGTAGCGGCGGTAGTAGTAGTAGTAGCGGCGGCGATGCTGGTGTTTGTGGAAGTAGAGGTGGTGGAGGCAGCGGCAGCGGCC